CACCACCACCACCATCACCAGCATCATCACCATCACCACTAGGGCGATCATTTATTAAGCCTTTCAGTTGCCAGCAAGTCGGTTCAGACTCATGGCGACCCCCTGCATGTCAGAATAGAACTGTGCTTCATAGGGTGTTGACAGCTGATTTTTCTTAATGTAGATCACCAGGCATCTCTGGGTGGACTTGAACTTCTAGCCTCTGGGTTAGCAGCCAAGGATGTTAACCATTTGTACCACAGAGGGCCCACGAGCACACTTACCCTATTGGGTTATCATAAAGACCAATGAGGTAACAAAAATGTCTGTGCCTTGAACTTGGCACATAAAAGCTATGATCGTGAACATTTGTGAAATTAGCATAGCTCATCCTCTTGCCCACGCTGTGAGGTGGGTTTCATGACCCCCATATTGCTCATGAGGAGAAGACCCATGTGACTTCTGACCACCCCTGCTCAGTGGAACTCTCTGATTGAGGGATGAGCTCCCCTAAGTCAGCGGGATCAAGATTCAGGGAATAAGGAGATGCTGAGGCAGGTCCAAGAACTCAACTCTTATGGTCCCTGTCCTCTGGCTCTCTTGTGGCTGGGAGCCTGAACAAAACAGGGTTGTGAAGAGGTGGCCTGGGTAATCAGAAGGGGGAGGTCCCTGGGGACAGACACTCAGTCTCTTCCACCTTCTCCTACCCGTGGGTTAGATGCTTACAGGGAGAATCTTTCTCAAGGGGCAGCTAAGAGGAGCATCATCGGCCTGAGCCTGCAGGCTGTAACCCTTGTCCACACCTCAGGCCGTGCCTGCAGGACCTGTACCCAAAATGCCTGGTACAGATGTCCTGGGCACAAATGCAGCCCGGTGTCCCCTGGGCGTGGGGCAGCTCTCGCCGTGAACTGACCTTGAATGTCTGCACAGCCCAGCTGCGGAAAGCTTCCTCCTGCCCGCTGAGCTCGTCTCCTTCCCCCATCGGGGTCAGCTGGGTGGCCCCCAGCTGCGACAGCTTCTGGGCAATGTCATGAGCGAAGGCGCAGAACTGAGGGTACATGCTGGAGCCAAGGCCAAAAACAGCGTACCTGCCCACAGGGACACACACGGAGGATAGGTCAGCCACGCCAAGCCAGCACCCAATCCACACACCCCACCACCATCACCCACCCCCATCATCTGCCCCAAGACTGGTCTACTCCCTCTGATAGAGGGACTTGGTTCCTGTGCCCTGATCCTCAGCACCCTCAAGGGCAACCCTCGGACCCAAGCTCTCTTAGAGATGACCCCTTACATACAAGTCACCTGGGGTCATTTTCTGGAGCCCAACTCCGGCCCCACCCACCCCAGCACAAGGCGGGGCATAGACAGGTAGGAGTCAGTCAAGAACGCCTTACTTACCTGAATTTGTTAGCAAGCTCTTTCAATCTGAAGAGGGATCGCTTCAGTTTCTAGAAAAAGAGAGCACCAGAAACCTCAGTTCACAAACACTCTACTTTGTCTCTCCTTTGGGTGGTCTGTTCCTAAACTGGGCGCCCCCATGGGGGAAGGCTGCAGACCCACAGCACGGAGTGGGTTTATGTGTGGGACCACAGAGTCAGACCTCCGGTTCTGGGCTTGTCTCTCCCTCCAGCAGAGCCTTAGTAACTCGTATGCGCCCTGACCCTTGGTGGGAGACCAGAGTAGCCAGCCCCCAGCCCCCCAGTACTGGTGGCAGAGAGGTTTGCCTTACAGGGGACAGCTCCTAAGGGCGTGGTCCTCTCTTCTTGTTGGAATCTGGTAAGAATGACAACCTCAGGTCCCATCGTCTCTAAAATAGCCCTGCTTTTCCCAGAACTCAAGTTCAGTGGTACACAGCCCAGCAAAAGTGACATTAAATCACATGACAAGAGAATGTGTCCTTTGATGCATAGTAGAAGCGAGCAAGAGGAAGCCCTGGTACCATGGGTCAACACCGTGGCTGCAACAACAGCTCAGACATGAGAACCATTGTGAGGATGGTGCAGGACCGGGCAGTGTTTCTGCCCTGTTGTACATCAGGAGGCTGTGTGGCACCTAAAAATAGTTTTGTTATTGTTATTGCCTTAAGAAATCATTTATTGAGGGGAAAGGCATGTGAACATTTCAGGGGCGTTTAGTACCTACACCATGTTGTACCATCACCACTTCTATCTAGTTCTCATTCCATCTCATCATTCAAAAGGAAAGCCCCACCCCCAGGAAGCAGTCTCCCCCCCACTCCCACCTCCCTAGGGCGCTGTCCTATGGATGCATCTCTTCTGGGTATTTCCTATGACTGGAATGAAACAATGTGTGACCCTTCACTCAGCCATGTGCTATTAATTTATCCATCTTTGTGGCTGAGTAATAGTCCCTTGAATGGACATACCGCAGCTTGTCTATCCATTGGTTGATGGACGTTGGATCTATTGTCATCTTTGGGCCATGTTGTGAGTGGTGCTTCAATGATCATTTTCAAACAAGTAACTGTTTGAGTCCCTGCTTCTAATTTTATTTATATATTTTTATTTATTTATATATATATTTTTTATTTTTATATATTTTATTTATATATATTTCTTTATATATATATAATTTTATTTATATATATATAATATTGTATATTGTATATTATATAGATATAGGAATCTAGCTAGCTATCTAGCTAGCTATCTCCAGTAGTGGAACGTGGCTGGGCCATGTAGTAATTCTATGCTGAGCCCACCTATCCTTGCCCTCCCCCAACCGTGGCTACCTTGGGCCACCCACCTCGCCATTGCTGGGAGAGTTTCCATTCCCAAATGTGCTGGTCACCACCAGCAGCAGCCGCTCCTCCTCCAGGTGGCTCAGGTTGTACTCGTCCATGCAGAAGATCTGTGCAGCACCGGGGGTGGACATCAGCCTTCGGTCCCCAAGTCGTTCCCTCCATACCCTGCAGGGGCTGCCAGCACTTTCCTCCCCACCAGCTGGGCATCCCCTCGGTCATCTCTGATCCCTGGTACCCAGACAGGTATGGCACAAAGGAGGGGAGTGCTCCCTGGATCTCCCCAGAATGGATCCATTTGCACACATTGGCCTCGACCCTCCTCCTGCCTCAAACGCCACAGAGAATCCACCAGCCAATCCTGGTGGCCCTTCTCAAGAGACAGCATCTGCCCAATCAAAAAGTACCCGCCGAGCTATCCCTACTTTACATCCAACTGTGCCAGAGAAAATGGTGACTCCTTTGGTGCCTCTGGAGGTACTCTTAGGTGGTGGGTGCCAGATGCCACTGCTCTACAGGGACCCAGGAATTCAGGCAAGCCCCCCCAGTATTCCCTGGGAGTTTGGGATCCCCAGGGGCCATTGGGAAGACTTGGGACCTTTGCCGAGTTGATTCCAACTCCCCATGACCCCGGAGGTGCGAAATGGGACTGTGCCTCCCTGGGTTTCAGAGACTGTGTCCTTTTAGGAGCAGATCACCAGGCCTGTCTTCCAAGGTGCCTCTGGGTGGGTTCGAACTGCCAACCCTTCAGCTGGTTGTCAAGCGCTTCACTGTTGGCACCCCCAGGAACTCCTAACCATGCTAATCTCTCACTGCCATCCAGTTGACTGTCACTCCTAGTGTCCCCAGGAGAGGGACGAGCTGCCCCTATGTATTTCTGAGACGGAGTAGAAAGCCTTGTCTTTCTCGGGAGGAGCGGCTGGTGGTTTCAAACTGCTGACCTTGTGGTTAGCAATCCAAGGTGTAACCCACTGCACCACCAGGGCTCCTTGGCCATCCCAAACCCTTCCTCCTGGGCCTCTGGATCACACCCCCATCCTGGCTGATGTGACAGCAGTCTGTGCTGTGTTCCCAAATCATGACGGTCCCATCTGTCTGCCAGGAGCTGTGCGGCCCAGGGAAACACACGTGACCTATGAGACCTGGGTTCTTCAGCCACACGGTCACCGCTGCTTGGACGACTGCAGGGGGGCGGGGTGGGGGGGTGGGGTGGGGTGGGGGCAGGGCTCCCCTTCCTGCCTTGTCCTGAGGGGGAGGACTGGGCCCTGGCTGCTTTCCTCAGAACCCAACGTTGGCCTGGCCTGCGGCAATTACCCCCAGGGACAGAGCTCATCATCGCTGTGTGTTTTGTTTTGCCTGCATCTTACTCATCTCTGGCTCATGCCTGTAGGAGGGGAGTGGTCCCTGAAACATGAGTAAAAGTCACCTCGAGATGCCTGGAGATGTCAGGACACTGCTTCTCAAACCGTGTTCCCCGGGACTTCAGGGAGTGACAATCTACTGGGTCCAACCCAGTGCACACCACCCCACCCCCAGACAAACCAAGGAGTAGAAGGCCTGTCCTAGGTCGCCTTGCCCACGGGTCCCCATGCACTAGGGCAGAGAGGGTGACCCAGGCCATGGAGCAGCTACCTTGGGGCTGAAGGCGCAGCTGAACAAGGCCCTCAGGTCCTTAGCCAGCGTTTCCGACTTCCCCGTCTCTGTGGCAAAGAGGATAGTGACTGGGAGTCGTGACCGCATGGCCTTGCGCAGCAGCACGGAGGCGAAGAACACAGCCCTGCGGGGACAGACAGACAGACACACACAGGGAGCTGAGACGGCCCTCCAGGAGAAAGTGGGAGTCCAAGACAAACAGAGGGGGGAGCTTCACAGTGGATCCCACTGAGGAAAAAGCGCCCCGCACTTCTCTGACTGACAGCCCCTTCCCACACCTCCCTCCTCAGCCCGCTACCCGGGGGAGGTGGAAGAGAGAGACTGTCGGGCAGTGAGACAGCTGATGACCCCTAGACCTGCTGTCTGGGCCTCTCAGACACTCCCCTGGTCCCTGTCCTGCCAGGTCCAGAGGGAGAGGCTGGCAAGAAGGAGGGTCGTAGTCCAGACAGAAGCGCTCCCTGCTCACACTCACTTAGCCAGGACTCTGAGTCGAATCTCCCTTCTCCTGGGCCTCCGCGTCGCGTCCTGCCAGATGTGGGTCTCACAGGCCTCCACCTGCAGAGATGGAGCGGGCTGTGAGGCAGGGGTGCATCCTAACAGAGCTTGGCTTGGCTTGGGGTACTGGGGAGCTAGGGGCCTTCACAGCATTCATGGGTCAGAAGGTGGGCAGGCCCTCTGGATGCCTCAGCTGCCCCCAAACTCCAAGGGAGGCTGCATCTGCTTGTCTCCCTCAGAGCTCAACGTCCCATCAGCGAGTGGTACAAACGGGGAGGGGGCGCCTTCGGCTTCTAACTGAAAAATTGGCCGTTCGAGTCCCCCAACAGGTGCCATGGAAGAAAACTCAGCCTTTAACAACCCGGAGGAGCAGAGTGCTCCTCTGGCAGGTTGGGGGGGTCTCCCCAAGCCGAAAACAATGCAGCAGGAGCTGGTCATCACCAGGACGCCGCCGAAGGTGCAGTCAGGCCAGGGTGCCTCTGAGAGACCAGCACAAACCATTTCCGGCAAGCCCGGATATGATCGTCTCACGGATGCCCCTTCTGAGGGACAAAAGCCCAGCCCCCCCATCGAAACCAAATCCTTTGTGACTGAAGGACGAGAAGGAGGAGAAGGAGAAACAAATGCCTTGCAGCAGCTAACCTTACAAAGTGCTTTCTGGGTTGGGCAACGGCTTCCACGGCTACCTATCAACTCACGGGACCCGTGGAACCTCAAATAACAGAGGGGACGCCCAGCCCTCCCAGACAGGAGAAAACTGGGGTGCAGGAAGGTGGCCTGACCTGCCTGGGAAGTGGCAAAATCAAACCCAAGGGTGTCCCACTTGGGGTCCAAGCTCTTCCCCATGTGGCGGCACACTGTTTCCCAGCCCCTCCCATGGGAGCTGGTGAGAGCGGGCACCCTTGGAAGCATAATCGCTATTAGAGCAACAGGCCGTTAAACAGACAACAAAAGGCATTTCCTTGAGCCCTTCCCTGGGTGAAGAGGGGCAAAGGTTGCTCATTGAGCTGAGTGGAGCCCAAGAGGCATTAAATTATATCCCCTGCTCCCCAATCCTCTTCCCATAGGCCCTGCGTGGCTGAGCGTGCATCCAAGCACACACATGCGCAAACTCATGCATGCTAATACCGAGTCTCTACCCCTGAGGTCCCAGGGAATACCTTCCCCATCCTTCCACCGCCCGTTTACCTGATAATAGTAGAAAGGGGACAGGATATAGTTTAACATCTCCTGGTGGAACATAGGCGTGATGCTCCCTGAAATTGGGGGGACCAGCCAAACCCAGTCGGCTGGGCAGCCCCCTCGGGAGCGGTACTCGCTCTGCATGTACTTCATGAAGGACTCTGCCGCCGAGTGGTGGTCCATGATGGTCACATTCTGCTTCTGTGTCCGAGGAAGGCAAGAAGGGGAGCTGAGGCCACCAGGGGCAGGGCCTCAGGGGAGCCGCTAGGTGTGGGGAAACCTGGGGATCTTCAAAATGGGGGAGAAAGGTCCCTCGGGCCCTCTCTCTGCCTGCTGGGCATAAGTATCCCCCTGGAAGGCATTCCCAGAGCCTCTGAAGGAGCCCTTGAGACGCTGCCCGTGGTCAGCCCACACCTCACAGGGTGGCCTCACCTTTGGGACATGGTGCGTTTGCCTCCCTGTGACCCACTGTGAGGAGGGTTCAACTTCCCTGCCTATGCCCCCAAGCCTCCCTAAACTTCCTGTAAATGGCTCGCTCCAGATGCTGATAATTCAAAAACCGAGAACCCACTGGCAGGGAAAGAAAAGGTCATCCCAGCCACCTGGCATGGAAAGTTCTAGGAGTTGCTTGCTCTGGGCTGAAGCCCCTCCCAGCTAAAGCTCTGTGCATGCATGGTGTGTGGAAGACAGGTCTTCCAAGAATCAGAAACTTTGCATCTGATCCTTGTGGGGAGAGCACCAGTAAAGGCGGCCCTCTGCTCTGTCTGGACCGGCCCATTCAGACAGAAGAGGTTTGTTTTAATGTCACAACCCGGGGCCTGTGCCTCTCAAGAGCCCTGTGCTTTTGAGTTATGAACTAAGCCTCAGTTTGCTCATCTGTAAAATGGGGCTGACAAGGGGTGCACGCTTCCTGAGGCTATTGAAAGGAGGCACCAAGTCCATACAGAAAGTGCCCAGTAAATGTTAGCTGCTAGCAGCATTTCTATGTGGCAGGGCACCTGGAGTTCTGCACTTTGCTGGACACGCCAGCCTGTCTGCTCACCTCCTGAGGGAGGGACTCTTATCCCCATGTCACAGCTGAGGCAATGAGGGCAAACCTCTCCAAGTGTCTCTCTGAAGGTGGGAGACTCTGAAGCTTGGGGTGTTGGGGGGAGTGGGGAGGTGGTCACGGCAGTGATGGTCAGGAGGCGGCTGGGCAGCGGCAGACACATGCGCATCCTAACAGTGTCCAGCTGGTGCTGGGAGTCCCTGGGACTCAGGATGTGTGGCCCATGGCCAGCCCTTCCTGAGCCGGGCCAGCCCCTGGGTGGGGGGGGAGGCTCTTCCTGTTCTGTCTGAGCTCCTTTTGAGAGGCCTGCCTCAACCTCCATCGCTCCCGCCTGGGCGGTGGGCCTGGGAGACTCTCCCCTCGCCGGCCAGCTCTTCAGCATCTTCAATAGTTGCCCCAGCATGGAGAGTGTAAGTGTGTGTGTATGTGTGTGCCAGATATGAGTATGCACGCAAAGCATCTTCAATAGTTGCCCCAACATGGAGAGTGTAAGAGTGTGTGTGTGTGTGTGTGTGTGTGTGTGTGTGCAACGCCCTCCCTGGAAATGTCCAGGGCACTCAAGCCTGTCTGCTAACCCAGAGCCCCCTTCCGTCACTCACTCCATCAGCAGAGCGACCTTAATGGACCCTCAACCCCAGGTGTCTGGCTCCAAAGCCCACACGCTTTTGCTCCCACCAAAGGAAGAACCCCAACTGCCTACCAAGGAGACCCCAACCCAAGGCTCACCATCGGTGACAGTTCTTGGTCTCCTCTGGGAAGCTCATTCGCCACATTTCATTTTAAAGAGCTACGCTCATCCCCTGTAGGCAGTAGGAGCCACTTTGTTAACTGCGATCTCCTTCTCCCTCTGGCTACCAGGAAGCTCAGAGTCAAATTCACAAGCCCGACCCACATGACCGTGTGGAGTGCCGTGGTCAGCGTGTGTGCGTTTCTATGGCTGCGCTCCTCCTCCTGACTTTCAACTATCGAATTGCCCCTTCAGTAGGTGGGTTTGTACTTGCAAATTTTACTACGATGTCAGTATTTGATCATAGACATTTTCGGAAAATGATCCCAAATTATTTGTGGAAAGACCACAGATTAGAAAGAAACCTAGTGACAGGGGTCATTGGGTGCCATGGAGCTGACGGGAGGCAGGCCCGGTGACCCCACACATGTGGAGCAGAGCACTCCCCTCTGCTTTCTTGGCCGTCACCTTCCCAGGAAGCAGGTGAGATGGCCAGGCTTCTCTGTGCAGAGCCTCTGGGTGGGTTTGAACCGTCCACCTTTTCAGTTAGCAGACCATGAGTGTCACCAGGCTCCAATGAAGGTACCAACAGAAAAATCCATGCCAGGAAAGTAGGGCAGTGTGGTCTGACCTGGAGACTCTGACTCACAGCAACCCCTCGGACAGAGTAGAACTGCCCCGTGGGTTTCGGAGGAGGCAACTTTCTTCCTTGGAGTGGCGGGTGGACTCGACCTGCCAACCTTGTGGTTAGCAACCCAGAGCTCCTGAACCTGGCACCTTGGGGCTCTGCTTCTGCATCTGGAAGCTGCTTGTTTGCATTTAGGGGGAAAGGCCAGCGTGGCGGGGAGCGGCTTTCCATTCATTGCATGGTAAGTCCAGACCAAGTGTGCTGTGGGAGGAGGCTGGCCGGGCAGCAGTCACCCGGGCTGAGAGGCCTGGGCACTGTCCAGTCCACAGTCAGCAGCAGCAGTGCAGCCCGCCAGCCCACAGACTCACCAAGCTGCCCTGTCACCTGGCCGTGCTCAGACTCCCAGCCCCTCGACGTACCTGGAAGCTGTGCAGCACCGCCACGTTGATCTCGATGACCGCCCGGTCCTTCCACAGGGAGGCCAGCTTGTGCGTTTCCAGCCCCATCCTCCTGCCGACCTCCTGCAGAGGCCCAGGAACAATGGGGCGCTGAGTCTGCGCTTGCAGGCAGATTGCACCACAAGCCCACACCGCCACCGGTAGCCCAGGTTACCTCCAGGATGTTGTAGCGCTGGACATCACAGAAGTCCCGCACCCCGATCTCTGTGCCCATGTACCAGCCATTGAAGGGGCACCCTGGGAACTCAAGACCACCCGCCTCCAGCAGCATGTTGGACACGGCCGGCAGGGCGTACCACTTCAGCCCCAGCTCCTGAAACCACTCGTAACTGGGGGAGGCAGAGCCGGTTAGAACAAAGACTTGCACTTTTGCTCCCCGCCCCTTCCCCACCGAGGCACCTCCCCACTCCCCAAAAAAGCACTCCTTGGAAAAGCGTCTACCAAGAACACTTGTTCAGGATTGACCTCTAAGTTAACCCCACTTGTTGAGATGAATCGGGAACACTTTCTCAGATCATCACTGTCTGCATCTGTCCGCATAACCATGTGCCACGCCCCGTACGACGCCGAGACCCCAGCCCAGCACGCACAGGTGTCAGAAAGCCTGGGCTCAAGTCCTGCCCCATCACTTACGAGCTGTGTGACCTTGGCATGTCACTGGGCCTCTCTGAGCCTCAGTTTTCTCAATAGCAAAAGACGAATAACAGCACCAAAAATCATAGGACTGTCAGGAAGATAAAGGTGCTAATTCACACTCATCCACTCTTTTTATGAGCATATTCACTCATCCCACAAGCAGTTATTGAGTGCCTCTGATGTACCAAAGGAGCCCTGGTGGTAAGGCGGATGATCCCTACAGGACCAGTGGTGTGAGTGGTGATACTGGGTGGGTAGAGGGAGAGTGGGTTGAAAAGAGGGAACCGATTACAAGGATCTACATGTGACCTCCTCCCTGGGGGAAGGACAACAGAAAAGTGGGTGAAGGGAGACGTCGGACAGGGCAAGATATGACAAAATAACAACTTATAAATTATCAAGGGCTCATGAGGGAGGGGGAGCGGGGAGGGAGGGGAAAATGAGGACCTGATGCTGGGGGCTTAAGTGGAGAGGAAAAGTTTTGAGAATGATGAGGGCAATGAATGTACAAATGTGCTTTACACAATTGATGTATGTATGGATTGTGATAAGAGTTGTATGAGCCCCCAATAAAGCAATTTTTAAAAAAGGAGCCCTGGTGGAGATGTGGAATAAGCAATGGGTGTCTAACCTCAAGGGTCATGGTTCAAACCCTACTAACTGCTCCTCAGGAGAAAGATGAGGCTTTATGTTCCCATAAAGACTTATGGGAGCCAAGCCCTACAGAGGACCTCTACCAGTCAGAACTGATGGCTGTGGGACTCTGTCCAGGCCCCCGGTGGGTGGTGGGGATGTTTCGGTGAACAAGAAAGACGAGGTTCCTATTTCAAGGGGCTGCCAGGCTCATGTAGAGACCTTAGAACAGCAGTTCTTAACCTGCGGGTCACGACATCCGATTCGTAACAGTAGCAAAATGACAGTTACGAAGTAGCAACGAAAATCATTTTATGGCTGTGGGGGGTCACCACGACATGAGGAACTGTATGAAAGGATGGAGGCATGAGGAAGGTTGAGAACCACTGCCTTAGAATATGAAAAGATAGCAAACACAGAGACAAGACAAGGCTGCAATGTGTCAGGCCAGGGTGGGGTGCCTTCCCTGGCTTTGGGGGTCAGGAGCAGCTTGTCAAAGGAGCTGACCACACGGAGGAGACACCTCACTGACGAGGAGGCAGGAGCTACGCACACCTCAGCAACCAGGGCCCGTCAGCATAGGGGCAGCACGTGCCAAGGCCCTGAGGTAGGATGGAATGCAGCGCGTTCAAGGGACCAAAAGGAAAGCCCAGCCCAATGCCCGGTACCTAGCAAGACTCAACATGTGCATGGATGTCTGGAACGACGAGGAGAGCTGAACCGGACCCCGAGGGCTAGGGCTCTGTCACCATCATGAGAGGGACGGCAAGGGAGTGGGCGGGAGGACAACAGGGGCCTGAGCCGCTCAGGGTTTCCCCCATGCCCTCACTGTCCAAATACCCTCCCAGGGCTGGAGGCGTAATTCGAGCAAGCAGACTCCTTGCAGGAAGCAAGAGAGAGAGAGGCCGGCTTGCAAGCCACTCCTCCAGGCATCCTGCTATGCCTGGCTTTAGAGGTCATCAGGGAGAAGACGGAAAAAGCAGGGGTGCACCCCTGTACCCCAGCCCACTTACTTGGGGTGCTCCATGGGCACCTCGAGCACCAGGTCGGGGGGGATCTCGAAGAGCTCGGGGTCCTGGCCGTCCGCCTGCAGCACCAGTGGTACCACATCGAAGCGGCCGTACTTGGGCTTCCAGCCCAGGTCGATGCACAGCTGGGGAGTGAGACGGGCCTGGTGAGTCTCGACCCTGGCATCCCGAGCCCTCTGGGCCCCTCAGTTGTCCACCGCTAGGCTCCCTGCCCGCCTGAAGAGGTAGGCCCCAGGGTGACCTGGTACCTGAGTGAACTCCACGCAGGCAGGGTCACCCAGGATGGTGCCATCGGGCATCTGGTAGCCAGCGTAGCGGATCAACTGAGCATTCCACACCCGGAAGTCGTGCTTCCCGTCGCTCCGCTGGGGGAACACCGTGATGGCCGACCTGTCCGGGGACAGGACAGTGCTGTCTCTCCTGTGGCCCTATGGGGGCTCCCAGCTGCCCACCCCCCAACTCCCCCAGCAGCTCCCCCAGTGAGCCAAGCTCTCCGTGTAAGCTGCCCCGTTTCCTGACTCACCCTCTCCGTCCTTCCCCCTCCCTATCCTACCCTTCCTCCAAGACCGGCATGGGAGGACTTCCGCACCACTCAGGAAGCCCCCAGTCCTCAGAGGGCGTGAGCGGTCCTCCACAGCCCTCTCCCTAGCTGCCCGTTCTTTGCCTTACAGCGAGGTGAGGCGTTAGGTGAGGGCCTGGATTCACAGGGGCTGGCACAGGGTCCTGGGGACTTCACCTGCACACCCCACCACCTGGCCTCGCATGGGGTCCATGAGGTGGCTCTGAGCTCTCGCTGAACAGAATGAGTGAATGGCCAAGTGGGTAGCTCAGCCTTGGCTTCTTGGGGTGAGGAGAGGTGAGGGTGGTACTGATGGGCAAGGGGTTTCCCACCTCTAAGAAACATCCCCCCCACCCCATAGCACCGACGAAACATACATCATTCCTTTAGTTCCTGAATGCTTCCCCGTCCCCACCCCCCACTACCACGACCCAGTTCTGCCTCACAAATCCGGCTAGACGAGTACACACATTGGTACAGATAAGAGCTCTCGACACATGGGATTGAGGACAGATACACCCTTCAGGAGCTGTAGTGGGAGCAGCCATCTCATGAGAGAAGGGGATGGTGAGGTGGGGGGGGAACCCATCACATCATATCGCTCCCCCCAAGGGAGTTGAATAACGTGGGTGAAGGGAGACAACAGACAGTGTAAGGCACGAAGTAACAATAATAATATATAATTGATCAAGGATTCACGAGGTTGGGAGGGGGTTCAGTGAGGGGAAAACAGAGGAGCTGATACCAAGGGTTCAAGTAGAAAGAAATGGTTTGGGAAATGTGGATGGCAACATATGTGCAAGTGTGATTAGTACAATTGAATGATGGATGGTTATAAGATTTGTAAGAGCCCCCCTCCCCAATAAAATGATCAATAATAAAAAAGAAACACACCCCCCCCAAGAGCCAGCTCCCATTCTTCCCCAAAAGTGGAGAGCCCCCCCTCTGAAGCGTGAAGGGGATACTTCTGAGTGAACGGCACACCCACCAAAGACTCCAACTCAGAAAGACAGCAGGCCCTTGACTGAGCTCATGGACGCCTGGCTCACTGTGAGGGGCCCCAAGATGCTCCCCCCCAAGCCCAGCCATGCCTTGTAGTAAGACCCTGGAATGCACACACGATCCACCCGCCGCCTTGGGAAAGTGGTACCCACCTGATGCTGCCCTGGTTGGTGGCGTAACGGAGATGCCTGCAAATGTGCTCAAACATTTCCTTGGCGGTGGTACAGCTCCGGGCATCAAAGACCTGCACACACACACCCAGGCCAAGTCCATCAGGACTGTGTGGACAGAGGCTTCGGGTCCAACCACAAGCTAAGGCCCTAAAGCCTGAGGGCGCAGCCTGACCACCCCACACCCAACACCCAGACGTCAGGGGAAAGTCCAGCGGCTGTTGAGTGGATTCCACTCAGGGCACCCACGAGTGTCAGCGCAGGGGTAAGTAGATCTCAGGAGAAAGATGAGGCTTCCTAGGCTCCTAAAAAGTTCCAGTCTCAGAAATCCACATGGGCAGTTCTACCCTTCCTGTAGGGGAGTGTCAGCTAGGAGTCAGCATTGACTTGGGAGCAGTGAGTGAGTGAGTGAGTGGAGCCCTAGTGGCACAGTGGTTATGAGTCAGGCTGCTAACCTCAGGGTCAGCAGTTCGAAACCTGAGTGGAGCCCTAGTGGCACAGTGGTTATGAGTCAGGCTGCTAACCTCAGGGTCAGCAGTTCGAAACCACCAGCAGCTCTGTGGGAGAAAGACGAGGCTTTCTACTCCTCTAAAGAGTCACCATCTGAGAAATACACGGGGACAGTCCTGCAGGGTCGTTCTGAGCCAGGAGGGATTCGCTGGCAGTGAGTGAGAGGGGCGCCAAACACCAGGTGGAGGGGGAGGCATCCTCCGGGAGCCAGGCATGCAGATGTTTAGGTAAACAGCCCCTTGTGGCACCAGCTCCTCCACAATCACAGAGACAAGGTGGTCTGGGCTTTTGGGGGGATGATGCGGTGCTGGCAGAGGTCTTTCCGGCCGGACCTCCAGAAGCAGATCATCAGGCCTTTCTTCCAAGGCGCCTCGGGGTGGGCTCCAGCCTCCAGCCTTTCAGTTGGCAGTAGAGCGAGCTAACTGCTGGCACCACCCAGTGGCCTTTAGACATTTAGAAGCAAAAACCCAAGCCCCTGCCCCTGAGTCAGTTCTGGCTCACAGCAACCCCGCCGAGGGATTCGAGGCTGTGAATCTTCACAGGGTCAGGCAGCACCCTCTTTCTCCCAGAGAGTCGCTGGTGGATTTGAGCCCCCAGTCCACAGTGCCACCAGGATCCTTCCTCTCCCTGCCTGCCAGTCCATGCGGACTCACAGCGACTCCCTGTGGGCTTCCAAGACCAGAACAGTTTATGGGAGTCTTGCTCCCTCAGAGCTGCTGGTGGTTTTGAACCACATGTGGACCGTGTGGATTTCTGCCCACCACGGTTCTGTGGGCTCCTTCCAGACAGCTAGAGGGAAAATGAAAAAGCCCAGACCCACTACTACGGAGTCAATTCTGACTCACAGCAAGACTGTCTAGGGATCCCCAAGTTTCGTCAGCCTTCCTCGGAGCAGACAGCCTCATCTTTCTCTGAGAGCAGCTGGTGGGTTTGACCCACGGACCTTGCAATCAGCAGGGGTTCCATCATCCTTCTCATGTTCAGGGGTGTAAAGCTGGAGCCTGGGGCTTGGGGCACCTGGGAGTCCAGCTGTGCTCAGCTGCTCCCAGCCACCCACCCGCCCAGGGCCTGCCCACCTCTCCCACTGTACTCCGAGGGTCAGTAAGGTCACCTGCAGGTTGGACCACTGGATCCTCCCAATGCAGCGGGGGGCATTGCGCCAGGCCTGCTTGGAAGCGAAGATGAGCTCATCCCCCGTCAGCTGGTAGGTTCCTGTTGTTTCGATCTCCTTTGTTACGGCTTCCACCCTGGCCAGATGTTCCTCTATTTTTGCCCTGGGGGACAGGAAGCCATCAGGAAGGTCAACAAGGAAATGGCCTTACATGGGGATGAATGCAGCCCACAGAAGCAGAGATGGGACTACAAGAGGGCAAGCTCTTCCACACCCCACCTGTACGGTCACACCAGCTTAGAAGGGCCCCACACTGGGGTTAAGCTCCGCGGTCACCCTCCTGAACGTTGTTGTCACGATAAACAAATAGTGCACATTTTCATTTTGCACTGAACCCTGCAAACGTACCGGCCCTGGCCAGCTCAGATTGCTGGTTTTTCTAGGAGTGAGGGGTGTGGAGCTGACCACCTAGAACAACAAGGTGTCTGAGTAAAGGAGGGGCACCTGTCCACCTTCTTGGGCTGAAGAGCCGCCAGACCCTCCCAGAGCAGCTACTGTGGATGCAGAACGTACGACGCAGGGGTCTCCCTGGGTCTGTGAACATTCATTTTACAGTCAATGGTATTGAGGTCCTAGGAGGTTGAAGGGGAGCCCTAGCGGCATAGTGGCTTAGTCGCAAGGTCAGCAGTTCAAAACCACCAGCCACCCCCAAGGCTTTCTACTCCATAGAGGCTCAGAAATCCACAAGGGCAGTTCTAGCCTGTCCTTAGGGTCCCCGTGAGTCAGAATCGACTCAGTGGCAGGGAGACTTAGAGGAGGTTAAAACCAAGCCCGGAGCATCAGTGTGGTCCAGAATTAGAGCCAGCACTCAAACCCGCTGGCCTGAGGCCAGGCCCGGCCTCCTAAGTGCTGGGGGAACCACCTTCCACTTCACGCTGACTGCAGCACCCCGACGCTCACAGATGCTTCCTTGGGGGCCCAAGCAAGAGACTGTGGACTCAAAGCTCCAGTGACTCAAAGGCCAGCCAGCATGGGCCTCTGCACAGCGTGGCCAGAAGACCGGGGTGCCCAAGGCCCCCTGCTTCTCATCCTCAGCACAGCAGAGCCTCCCAGCAATCCCAGACAGCTGTGAGCACCTCCTTCTCCTCTCCCCTCCCCTCCCAGACTTTGAAAACACACACACACACACACACACACACACACCCCAAGTCCCCCTGCTTCTCATCCTCAGCACAGCACAGCCTCCCAGCAATCCCAGACGGCTGTGAGCACCTCCTTCTCCTCTCCCCTCCCAGACTTTGAAACCACCCCACCCCACCCCACCCCACCCCACACCCCCCCTTGAGGTTTCCCATCACCACTGAAGGCCTTCGAAAAGAAATGCCAGGGAACTATCTAAGGAATGAGCCCCGACGAAGGACAGTGGGAGCTCACAACAAAATGGCCTTTCTGCGGTTGAAGAGTCTCAACATCTCTTCTTGATTAAAACAAGGGGGGGTGGGGGGAGCTCAGAGACAAAACACCCGATGACATTTCTCCTCAAGGACTCCCCTGGCCTCGGGAACTTCTGGGTGAGGGGGGCGCCGCCCCACCCCCGGGAGCCCTCCCCCTCAAACAAGCGCCCAGCCATCCTGCACCTGTGTCTGCAGCAAGCCGGCAAACGGTGATGCTCCTCCCCACACAGGTGCTGGCCCCTCCTGGTGGAGCAGTGCTGACACGCAAGTCCGTGTGTGTGCGCGTGTTCCAAGTTTTATCTGTGACCGCTGTCTTCCTAAAGCCAAGTTCTAGGGCACTAAGAACGGTGTGAGCAGGCCCTGGCTGTCAACCAAAGGCTGGTGGTCTGAGGCCCACCAGAGGTACCTCAGAAGCAAGCCCTGATGATCTCCCTGCAAACAAGCAGCCGGGAGAGCCGGAAGCACAGTTCTGCCCGGGCACACCTGCGCTCCATGTGAGTGGGAAGCAAATCAGTGGAAACTGGTTTGGGTTATGTTTTCTAACTGGTTTTTAAATTCCTTAGACCTCCCTGGTGGCACGGTCATAAGGTAAGCTTCGGACTGCTAACCTCCAAGTCAGCTGTTCAAACCAACCAGTCCCTCCAAAGGACTAGACATAGGCTGTCTGTTCCCGTAAAGATTTACAAAACCTTGCATGCCTTATAGTGGGAAACAACGATTTCTCCCAAGTTGTCTTCCCAAAATAGATCCCAAATTTAGCTGCTTGCTACATGTGGCAAATCCACTTGGAGGTCAACAGAAGTAAGTCAAGGGTTATTCTCCCTATGGGTTATCAGCCACCCAGAGCAAGCAGCCACCACTGTTTATCCCACAACAAGTAGGGCCCAGTCCCTCCTAATAAGGACAGTAGTAAATTGTAAATTGTAGTAGTAAATTATTTCCCTGAAGGAGAGCCCAGGGAGGTCAAGCCCACCCAAGGGTGACCTAAGTTAGGCCGCCATCATGAATCTAGGGTCCACCCATCTTGTCACATGTATACCCTTAGTCCCTCCCCTTCCTACTGCTCATCCCCTTCCTGTTACGCTTATGCCCGTTGCATGTCCCCCTCCTATTGCTTGTATTGCCTATTGTACAGCCCCTTCCTGTGACATGTAGTTACCTGTAATCATGCCCCCCTAAGTATATACAAGCCTTGGTTAGCAATAAAGTTCCCTCCTGCCAGGACTCCGCCCCACCTCACCTTGGCCCACGCGCTGTGCGCGGACCTGGCTGGTAAGATCATGGCCATCCAGGAGGTGAGCATGCTACCATGAAATGGGTCTGACTCCATTAGTTTACTCTCTCTCCTATCTCTCTCATTCTCGATGACTTTACTGTAATCTTTATATATCTCAACCGTACAATTACACCTATTGAACCCATGATTAGTTGTGGGGGGCTGGCCTTCCCCCTCTCCCAACCTTATGAGGATGGCTATACATCAGAATCAATTTCATGGTAGTGGGGGTGGGGTTTTTTTGGGGGGGAGGGTTGTGGTCAAGTCAAACGTAGTGACCCTACAGGACAGAATAGAACTGCCCCATAGGATATGCAAGGCTGCAAATCTTGACAGAGGCCGACAGACACGTCCTTGTCCCTTGGAGTGTGGCTGATGGGTTTGCAGCTAAGCCCCGTGACCCCTGCACCACCCACCGTAACCCTTTTAAAGCATGCACACATGTCTAATTTGGCTAAAACAGTTGTTCTAAGCACACAGTCACCACGAATCCTTCCGAGCACTTTACATGCTTTATCTCATTGGCTTTTATGAGCTCTTCTATGGTAATGAGTGGTGGAGTGGGTTACAAATTGGGCAACTGACTACAAGGTCAGCTGTTCGAACCCACCAGATGTTCCCAGAGAAAGGTGAGGTATTCTGCTCTATGGTGGCATCTTTTATAGGGTAGATACTATTATCATCACCATTTTCAGATAAGACAACGGAGGCACAAAGCAGTAACTTGCTCACCACAACCCCATAAGCCAGATTCTGTTCTGATTGCCCCCATGGAAACAGAGGAGAAACTCGGGGCACAGAGAGGTGGATGGGCTTCCCAAGGGTCCAGGACTAGAAACCAGGATTCAAACTTTGGGTAGCATTTTGCTCCATGACTGCTATGCTTCCTGAGCCCACGGTGATGCCCACCTGATGTGACCAAGGGGGGCAGCCTTCAGCATGGATTGTGACACACTATGAAGAAAGCCAAAATCCTCACAACCGGACCAAGAGGTACCATCATGACCAACAGAAACAAGATCCATGTTGTCAAGGCTGCCACCTTGCCTGGGTCCACAACTCACGCTCATCGAAGCGGGAGTCAAGAGACCAAGCGACTCACTACGTGGCATAAATCTATTGCACAAGACTTCGTTAAAGTGTTCAAAAGCAAGGATGGTACTTGGCGGACTAAGGCGTGCCTGGTCCAAGGCACGGTATGATTGCCAGTCACCTCGTCTGCATGCGAAAGTTGACATTGAATAAGATCGAAGAAGAATTGATGTGCTTGGATGATGGTGCGGAGAAAGAATATTGAAAGTACCAATGGGCTGTCAAAAGACCAAACAAATCTGTCTTGGAAGAATCACGGCCAGGATGCTCCTCAGCGGCAAGGATGGAGAGACTGCATCTCACATACTTTGGACAGGTTGGCAGGAGAGACCAGTCCCTGGAGAAGGACTTCGTGCTGGCTAAAGTGGAGGGGCAGCGACAAAGGGGGAGCCCTTGAGGAGAGGGGCTGACACCGTGGCTCCAACAATGGGCTCAAACCTAAGAACAGTTGTGAGGCTGGCGCAGGCCTGGAAGGTGCTTCCTTCTCACGGAGTCTGAACTGAATCAATGGTGTCTAGCAAACCAACGCTGGGAGTTCTTTCCGTGGAAAGCCGGGTTTTAGTCCTGGCACCACTGGGAATCTGAGACGGACAGGGGTCAAGGGTCAGAAGGAAATAGCTGGAAACACAGGAGGGAAACCAGGGGAGGTTGAGGGCAGTGAGGCTTACTCTTTGAAGGAGCCGTAATACTGGTTGACAAACTCAATTGCTTGAGGTAGAAGCTCGTCCGGTGGGGTAGGCTTGTCCCTTGGTCCTCTGGTAAGACTTTGGGGCTTCATGAGCGTCCCTAGGCAAGCCTTGGACCTGCAAGCGAAATTCTGGAAAGAAAAGGTATGGACTGAGAGCAGGTAGCGCTCCGGCACTCACGCACTGCCCCTCTCCACTCCGCTGCCTGTCTCCCTGCCCCTGAGGCGCCTCCTCCTTGGAGTTCACCAGTCTTTCTCCCCCACCCAGACGTCTCCTCTTCTACTGGCTGCCCCCCAGTGGGAGATGAGCTGAAGTTGGGCCTCTCACCCCAGGGCTCCCTCTCTGGCCCTGCTCCCCAACCGGCTCCACTCCAGAACAAAGCCAATAGATTAGTCCCTGCGACTAGTTCAACGACCTTCTCATTTAAATAGGCTGCCGGTGCCTCCGGTGGAAGCACATCGTAGGCGGTCAGCACACATGAACTGGAAGGAGCAGGTGCAAACCCCAAAGCCACAGGATGGGAACCCACAGGCTGGCTGTGGTGCTTCGGGGAGACGTGGAAAGTCATCCTGCTTTCCTGGTCTCAAAATGCTCCCTTCTTTTCAACTTTGAAAGCATAGAATGGTGCCCGGCTATCAAATGATACAGCGTCTGGGGTTTTCAAGGCTTGAAGATAAACAAGCGGCCATCTAGCTGAGAAGCAACAAAGGCCACATGGAAGAAGCACACCAGCCTGTGTGATCATGAGGTGTCGATGGGATCAGGTATCAGGCAACAAAGGCCCAGAACAAAAAATCATATCGATGTGAATGAGGGGGAATGAGGAGTGGAGACCCAAAGCCCATCTGTAGACAATTGGGCATCCCCTCACAGAAGGGTCACAAGGAAGAAATGAACCAGTCAGGGTGCAGTATAGCACTGATGAAGCATACAACTTTCCTCTAGGTCTTTAAAGCTTCCCCCTCCCCCACTATCATGACCCCAATTCTACTTTAAAAATCCGGCTAGACCAGAGCATGTACACAGGTACAGATAAGAGCTGGAAACACAGGGAATCCAGGACAGGTGATCCCTTCAGGACCAGTGGTGAGAGTGGCGATATTGGGAGGGGAAGGGGAAGGTGGGGGAGACAGGGGGAACTGATCACAATGATCGACCTATAACCCCCTTCCAGGGGGACAAGCAACAGAGAAGTGGGTGAAGGGAGATATCAGTCAGTGTAAGACATGAAAAAATAATAATTTATAAATTATCAAAGGTTCATGAGAGAGGAAAGGGGGGAGAGGGAGGGGAAATGAGCTCAAGTAGAAAGAAAGTGTTTTGAAAATGATGATGGCAACATATGTACAAATTTACTAGACACAATGGATGGATGGGTGCATTGTGATGAGAGCTGTAAGAGGCCCCAGTAAAATGATTAAAAAAAAAAAGAAGATAGAAAACATTGACTGCATTCAGAAGGTTGGGGCCCAGAGGTCCCGAGGGGTCACCAGCCTCGGCAAGGTGTGCCTCCCAGAGGCCCAGATCTCTCACCTTGGTGGCCTTGTGGTGAAGTGTGTCCTGCCAGGTCATCCCGTTGCCCCAGTTTTTGATCCTCATGTGCCGTGGGCAGGCTCCCAGGGACACATCCACCTTGACGCTGGATTCTGGGGGCTTTGGAGAGAGGGGTTAAAAAACAGTTTTCCAGCTGTCTCCAACCCCATGCCCCACAGGTCTCACCTGACCCCGGGCCCTGCTTGGCTTTGGGTGGGATGGGGAGCTATGGATGGGCCATCCCGGTGTCCTTGGCTGCCTGGGTCGGCGCCTGCTCAGAGTGCCCCTGCCAGGTTGCTGCCCTCCCACAGCCCCAGCCAAACCAAGACCGCTGCCAGTGGGTCCAACTCATCTCGAACCTGTCGGGCAGGGCAGAACTGCCCCGGAGGGTTTCCGAAGTGGCAAATCTTTCTGGGAGCCAACTGCTCCATCC